GCATCAGCTTGGCTCTCATTGTAGCAAACTTCCAGCAGCTTCCACAAATTCTCCACAGCAGTACAAAGATAGGTATGGTAAAAAACAGGTAGACAATCTCCAACATCAGAGTCACCATCTTCTCGAAACGCAGCACCGTCATGGAAATCAGATTGATGATTCCTCCAAAGATTAGTAAACCCAACAGTTCGTTGACAAACGGGAATCCTTCTCCAGGCAGGTTTTGCACAGCCTTGTACCAACGTTTCCACATCCCAATAGGATCAGTTACAGCATCCAGGATCAGATCAATCGCACCATCTTGGATTGCATGGAAATGGCATCGGAGAGTATCACAATGGTACTTCCTGTAATACTCTATCTTTGGCTGTAGCACTCTGGTTTCTTCTTTCTCCGTGACTCCGACGAGCCTCTCCCATGCAAACTTCGCAGCAGCATCCAAGAAAGCCTTTAGACCAGACGAAGGAAGTCTTTCCACCTTCCGTTCTTCGCCCTACTGATGTGATACATCATGTACCACCCAGCCAGCAGCTTCCGTCACCAATCTCAGAATGATGACCAGTGCCATCCAGATTGGCACTTTCCTCCCACAACCGAAACCATGTTGCACCTTCTTCATAATGGCTACAAAATGAAGAAGATGTTCGAAGATTGGCGCAGAGAATCTTGTGAAGATGGGCTGGTCATATCAGGATGTAAAGACGGTCATTTTAAGGCATTTGCAGTAGTAGTACTCCACGCGCTTGACCAACAAAGCCAACAACGTGTTTTCGCAGTACTCCCATGCATAGGTTGTATTTGTGATCTATAAAAGGCAACAATACACTTTTCACCGTACTCGTAGTAGTACTAAGTGGTGGTTAGTATAAAACTGGGCAGAAAACTGCTGCCCTCGGAACACACAAGATGCTAACTCAAAGAGAGCTTCATTCACATCTACTATGTGTCGGTATTGGCCAGCTACACACATCAGGGCATGCCAGCCCTTAGCCAACCTTCTAATTACAATAAATCCTACAGAAATATAGCTTTACTACAGTTTTGAATATGTACATGCAAACTGCCCAACTTCCATGCCATAAATCTGTCGGTGCAAGCAAATTAAACCGAGATGGACCAGTTTGACACTCACACTCTCCAGCCCCGCAATCAGTAACCTTCCAGGAACTTTCTCACCATAGAAACATGTAGCATTCTTTCATGTAAGCACCTACTACATAGTTTTTATGCACACTTAACTAAACACAGCCCAAGTTACAAACACTTGATGTAAAACATCAAACACATGTAGTAACTTGTATTCTGCATTCAAAAAACCCCTTGGTAGGCACTGACCCTGCCCTTTGTCATGTGTGAAACACACAGCCTCACTTACCTCCTACTCCCGGTCAGACAGAACTGACCTTCGGTGAATCCCCAGCAGCCAGGGCATTAGCCCCCCGTCTGGCACGCACTGTTTGCGTTTACAGGGCAGCCAAGCCGGTTGCCAGCCTCCTCAGACTGAAACACAGACTCGCAAGGTGGTAGTAAAGGGGCAACAAAGGTTCCGTCAACTGGTGTTCGTTACACGGCTTTGTTTGACAAGGGTTATCCGTTCAGACCGCCAACTGCCCCTTTATACCCGCACTGGGGCCTTTCCACTTCTCTCACTTCCCGGTTTGTCACTGTATCCCTCCGGACAAATTACACCGCCAACCCGGTACTTCACACACCGACCAGTACCTACCCTATCTACCCCTTTACATAGCACAACTACCCGGATTCTAACACACCCTCACACCGCGGTCCGCGACTGCTTCCACTCCGCGCCAGCCCCCGCGTCCTCCTCACTCCGTCCACGCTTCGTTCCGTGTGCCGCCTCCACTATCCGACACGTGTAGGCTTGCATTCGCCAATCCTCTGGTCCGTTGAACTCCACCCAGTAGGAGCTCAACCTCCGCAACCCAGCCGCACTGTTCGCCTCGTATTCCGCAGTAATCGGTATGTCAAACCGGACAAGGAGTACCTCCTCGCCAGTTTCTTTCTCCAGCTGCGGACCCCGCTTCCGAACCACCTCCGCCCCACGGTCGGCCAGCCATTGCGCGACCGCCTCGAGGTACGCTTCCCCACTCTTCCTTGCAACGTTTTCCTCTCCCAAGCGCGCAACAATCTGCTCGGTCGCCGGCAGAGATCGTGTCCCTTCGCGGCGCACTGCCCGATCCTTGAGATCGGAAGGGATGGTGGCTTCAATCTGCACCGCCGCATGCCCACATGCCGGGCTGCGCCCATCCGCCTTTGTGCTTGCCTCCTTCGCGCCTTCCCTCTCCACCGTTCGGCTGCTCAACCTGCCCACCATTGACCTTTCCATGGCCGCAAGGGGCTGGGCCATCTGGCGGATGATTGCCCTCATTCTCCACTTCCGGTCGCCTTCGTGCAAAAGGCTGGTGCCAAACGATTCTAAGGCCGCGCCTGCCTTCGCCACCTCAGTGCGGAGGGCGCTGCGCCACCACTCCAACGGAAGTGCACCCTCGTTCGTTTTGGTCGCCATTCAGTTCGCTTCACGGCCAGCCGGATAGTGGGCGTGTAGTTTGCGTCACGCAGCCATGCTGCAGCATGGAAGGACCACAGCCAACGGGCCGGGTGGTCACGTTTTCCGGTCACACAGCGGTTTCCAGGGTTACCCCCTCTCGGTCTCACAGCGGATTCTGGGGTACCCGGTGTGTGATCCGCAACATGGTTAGTGGTGTAAAACGGTTACCACGCAGCTCGAACTGGTGCTGCGGGTTGTCGCCCAACGGTAGCTGTGCATTTAGCCCGTTTTCCTTGCTTTCCACTTGTACTACTTCTAAACTATTGGCTCTGAGTGAATAACAAGTTTTTAACATGTCTCCCAAGTTGAAAAATGGGATGCACATGTCTTTCCTTCACACTGCACTTTGTCTTTCTCTTTTTGAGCTGTCAAACCATTTTTTTTCGTTTTATCAAATACAACTCATTCGTTTTATCAAATACTCATTTGTTTTATAATTTTTGCAAAGATGGCTTAAATCGTATGCCATTTTGCAGTGTGCCGAACAGGTCGCCCTGTCCTGCAACTCGGCTGTTGGAGGTCAACCACCCCTCTCCACCTTACACATTGGGTGTATCCAGGGCAGTCGCTCCTGTGGTCACGCAGTGGGCCCAATGCTCGACGGGGATCGATCACCGGGGCCTGCTGTCAGCGAGAGGTGGCAGCGCAATGAGGCGGTGGTTCGCTGGCTCGCAGGAGGCCAGAGAGTGGGCCAGAACAGTTACATGATTCACAACATGCGCGCGCACATATCGCATGCGCGATGCCCGATCGCAGGTCCATCGCGGTCACATCATGACAAGACAAGACAAGTGCGCGTCCAGGCACATCGTCACCGTCCACTGTTCAACTAAATCAGCTCCACATAATCCCCGATGCTTCCATATACTGGTCCGAATCCCATGCTAAAGTACTGCAACTTCAACTGGCCATAACTTCGCCGTTTCTACATGGAATTGGACGTTTCAAGGCGCTATTGGCATCAGGAGCTCCTGAATAAGCTGATTTCAACTATTTGCATTTTTTTGACCAACCACCGCTTCAGAAATATCAATCTTAGCCTAACCCCAAGTAACCACGTCACAATTACTATGATGGTAATGTCGAAGCCTTTTAAGTCTATTTTGATATTAGAATTTGATGAACAAATTATGGACGTCACTTTGTTTGGGCAAAATAGGGAGCTAGTGGCTAGCTTCTAAGTAATAGTGAATTTGATGATGATGATGATGATGATGACGATTTAGGCCCCACAATGCATTGAATGAGGGGCCTAGCCGTGGCTGCGCGTCCCAGCAAGGCTTATCATCAGGGCGGCTTGGAGAATAGCCACAACACCCGCCCAGTTGTATCACGAGAATGCATCCCAACGACACCGTAGTATATTCAACCTTTTTACATCGGTCTATTCTGACCGTTGTGTTTTGCTCTGCATTTTCGTCCCGGACCGTTACTTTATTTTTTCTTGCTCCGCATCGTGTCAGACGGGCTCCAAGGGGCCTCTAGAGGCTGTATCCCAAGTTTCAGGTGCAACGGACCAGTCCCAAGCCTCGTTTGTGTGTGCACCATGCGGCATCAACCGCCCAACTCTGGGAACGGTTGCCAAGAGTCCTAGAGATGCCGGCCCCCCCCCCCCCTTCTGTCCCGCCGGCCGTTGATCAAAGCGCGCACCCCCCGCCGACCACCCCCACTCCCCGCCTGTGGGATTCTGTGCCATATTGGCACCTTCGGCATCAGCGCCCACTCTCCCCGCCACCCGGATGGCAGACAGCAGGCACCTACCTGCCTACCGATCACTTGCCCATGAGACTTCCAGATGGTGAGGAGCGCCGAGAGGATGGCGCAGCGCGGGGGGCGCACCCCACCGTGGGCCTTTGCATGTCCAATCGATCCAATCCGCGATCACGCTGGCATATGCCTGCGATCGCTTCCGGCGGTTCGAAGCCCGAGCCGCCTAGTAGGCAAGCGGCGAGCGCCGGCCGGCCTGCCGATCGACCACGGCGGTCGATCACTGGGCGGCCCAGTGGCCTGCCAGGTGTCCAGGCCCCGGCGGCACCCCAGCCGTTACTAAATTCGGCTGCTCCACATCTCGCTCTGGCACCGTTACTTTTTTTATTCATCGACTTCGCGAAAAAGGGTCCAGCGTTACGTTACTATGCGGAAGGGTTTAAAAAACTACGGTATGTCTGGAAAACATAACCTCTGGGAATGTGGGGCCAACCCAGCACACTATCACACACACTCTCCGGCACGAGACCTCCCTGCTGCCTCGAGCGTCCCTACCCCGCCAGCACGACAGACAAGCACGACCGGAGATTTTCCTCTGGCGATCGCTGCCCTCCCGCCCATGCTCCCCACCCTGCGTCACCTCCCGACCACCCTCTCCTGGATCGCATCCGCCCGCCGTGCCACAGCCCCATCGCTGTGCCCATCGCCGGCATTCGCTTACGGGATGTGCGACAGTGCGGGAGGGGACCCCAGTCCGGATCCCGGCCGCTATGCCAGCCTCTTTTCCCTCGGCGCGGAGCAGGCTGTGGCGTATGCGCGGTTCAGGCCCATGTATCCCGAACGGCTGTATGATGAGATTTATGACTTCGCCAAGCTGCCGGTTTACGAAGCGGCGCTGGATGTCGGCACGGGAAGCGGCCAGGCGGCGCTGGCGCTGGCGAGGAGGTTCGAGCGCGTCGTGGCGACAGACCTCAACGAGCGGCAGTTGGCCCAGGCAAGCGCAACTTGGAAGCGAGCGAAGTGCCTGTAATTATGGGGCAATCGAGGGCCATGGTCGCCATCTAATTTGAAGCAAGTGCTGCAGTGCCGCGGTGGTTCTGGCTGCGTCCTCCCATTCCAGATCTGTCAAGATGAGAATGGAATGCTCTCCGCACAGCGTCGAAATGGCGTCCATGCTGCCAACATTGCACTTATTTTGCCGTGGATGTGCTGAGGGAATTTCGCTGTGTTTCATTGCCAATCTTGTCACATTGAATTTCCTTCTCAGTTTTGAGCCAGCCAATGTGCGCTCGCTGCCAAAGGGTCAATTTGCCTGCGATTGCCATATATACAGTATAGCATTTTCCATATACCAGTATGGACCATACTGGCGAGAGGCCCTAGCATCCTGCATCTCGCCCAACGATCAAACCAAAGCATGTACTGTGGCAAGGCACTCTTTTGTGGTATTCTGTTGAACACGTTCCTCTCAGTGCGATGCAACATTCGTGAGTAAACATGCAGTCTGCATATGGCAATGTGCCACAGTGCACCGCAATATGCTGCCCATATGTGAGCTCCTTCCTCGCTAGTAAAACGGACACACAATTCCTCCCGCCTCCTCACAAAATCACTGCCTTCTTGACAGGCCCCGACGGTGGAGAATGTGACCTACCGCCAAGGAACGGCAGAGACACTGGACTTCGCAGACGACACTTTCGACCTCGTGACCATCGCTCAGGCGCTGCATTGGTTCGACCTGCGCCGCTTCTACGCCGAAGCGACGAGGGTCCTGAAGCCACACGGGACCCTGGCGGCGTGGGTGTACGAGCGGACGTTCTTTGACGGCAACCCGGCGGCAAACGAAGCCATGCACGACATTCTGACGCGCAAATTGGGACCTTACTGGGCTGACAAATGCGATTTGGTGCACAAGCGGTGGGTCGTGGGCTCGCTGGACTTGTGTCGGTGCTGTCGACCAGACCCTGATCGCGGCGTCATCTGGAGCGCACGGTACCATAGGGAAACACACAGCTGATGTGAGGGGGTTTGGGTCACAGGCGAGCGCTGCTCGTAGTGCGCTGATAATCGGCGTACAGAGAGCAATTGCATTTAGTCACAAAAGCGCAGGGCTGGAGTATTGATCGTCTTCAAATCCTCTTTTCCGAAAGAAATAGGATTCAACCCCAATGAGCACTTTCGTCGCTGGGCATCACAGTTGATAGTTTTCCTCTAGCAGACAATTCGCAGCACATTCTAGCGGCGTCGACAACAGGCTGAACAACGTCGTGGTGTTAAGCCCCAAGTAACTCAATGAGGCGAAATGCAAGTGTGGCGATCCCATTTTTCAGTAACGCTGTGTCCGTAGGTGGAACCCAGTCACTGCTCAAAGCCACACGCACATGCGACCAGACTTTGCAACTTGCGACCCTGCATTTTGAATGCGCTACAGGTACGAAGGCGCGGAGCCAACGCCCGACGAGTTTCGAGTTTGTGAGATGAGGACAGTGGACCTGACCAGCGACACTACAGTGGCCAACCTGGCCGGCTACATGTCATCGTGGTCAGCATACAACACATACAGGAAGGCCAACCCGCAGGCTGAAGACCCGCTGGAGGCGTTCAAGGCTGCCGTGCTGGCGTCCCTCTCTGGTGCCCAGGACGATTCTGTCGTGGTGCGCGTCACGACCCCCATGCACTTGTTGCTGGCGAGAGAGCCCGTGAAGAATTGACGTGTACCGGCAGATACAAGCTCGGTCTCGCGCTGTAAGGCGGCCTGGCACCGTTCGAATTGGCGCTGGCGTTTGTGTTACGACTTCCTGACGAGGCTGGGGAAAAAATTGTCTCACAGACACTATCGCTTTGCACCGTGAGCACGGCACTTTCTGTTGCTCACTGGAACGCAATGGGTGGACCCGGTGGCCCACGACGACAGGGCGCAGTGTCAAATCGCTGTGCATTTTGATGGCGCTGATGTTGAAGCTCCAACGTACTGAAATATCCTTGTTGGGCATGTGAATGTCCAAACTCGCTCGTGCTATCTGCATTTGAGATGTTTCTCCGGGGCGGTGTTCTCTGTACAGGCACCTGTACCCTGTTGAGGATGCCAGGTCATTTCCTCAGGGTGCAGGCACTCAAGCGCTGGGGAACATTATGATGAAGTGGTCATTTGAGGCGTCCTACGCGAAACGCACCAACCGCAAGCACTCAGTGCCTGCTTTGCTCCATTCCATGCTTTGTGTTCACACGCAAACTACATTGGCACTCTTTTTCAAGCAACAATGTACGAACCCCACTCACTCTTATGCCACATGAAAATTAATATCGCTCAACAGACAGCTGGGATGCTGAACGAGAGGCAATAAATCATGTGTCATCTTCTCCGATACGAAACCGCACCCGCCATAGTTCTACACACGTGCATTGCCCGTGCATGATATGCGCTCAATTGAACGCTCATTTATACATTGGCAGACGGTTGATAAGCAATCACAAAAATTCCCTCTTGCCATTCCTCTTTATGTGCTGCCAGCCAATGGCAATATAGTACACTGCATTAAGTACAGTAATTGTTGGTGACGATGCAACGCCGGTGGTATATTCTCTCCTGCTTTGTAGACGACAGCCGACCTGCGTCACTGCCGACTTCCCACCGTAGCAAAGTACATGGAGTTTTTGGTTCCACTGTGGCTGAATTGGATGTTCGTCCTGTACACAAGGGGCACATAGCCGTGTCGGACACCTGCTTGCCATTGCCTCATCTACTGCATTCGCAATGGTCACCGCACAATAAGTCCCGAAACATTGATATGTCAGGTCGATGGATTTCCTTGCAGACCGTCTTTTCCCCAGGTTGAGGAATCCGTGAGACTGTTGTGGCAGAAGAGAAACATCTCCACGGGCTGCCAATCACTTTGTTTTACTGCCATGATTATCTTTCCTAATGAAGCCATGCAGTAATTACTGCAATAACATAGTGGAATTATAATGCAATAACGCCATTGCGTGCTGTCATTCTCCGCAATTCCAATGTTGGGCATGATTCTGAACGGTACTGTTCACCGGGTGCTCGACGCTCTCGCTGCCACCACTTTGCCGTTCGTGCAGTGGTTTCGTTAGCCAACACGTCCTACTACGGCAATAGAGGCAACGCAGATCGCAGTGTGGAGTGAGCGCGCCAGATTTTGGGTCTCTTGCGGGGTGCCCTCACCTCTTGTCCCCCATGGCCACCTGTCCAATGCCTGCCAGCATGACCTTCTGTTTTTTGGATGCCACGCCAGTCAGTGGCTCCAATTTCCTCTTCAGCTGTTTCACACTCGTGTCCACTTCGATGTCCACAAACACCTCAGGGCCGCAGGGCAGGTGGTTGGCCATCATTGTGACCTGGCACGCGGGACTGGGGCGTCAACTTGTTATTGGAGGGGGAGGGGGAGGGGCATGACCTGAAAAGCTTCATGGCAAATTCTGCGACTTGCAATTTTGCATGCAGAACTTTCCTTGGTTGATTTCCAGATGAGGGAGGAACCTGCTGTAAATTTCGCACGGAAACCGGTCACGAAGGTTCATGCGGACGTTCGCTGCCGCCAGCCAGGTTTGCGAAGCACGGTCTTCTCAAGATTGGCCCTCGCCCCCCCCCGGCGTAAGTGTCGCTGCGGCTGCCGCGAAGCTCGGGCGAATCCGCAGCCATCTGGACCGCCGGCTCACCCGGAAAAGGGGTTGCACAGCAACGCGCACCCGTCCGTCACCCGCTTGGATCGATCCCGATCCTCGACACTTGATCGGAGGCGGGCCACGCCCGGTGCAAGAATCTCTGCCAACCCCCGCCTTCCCCCCGCAAATTCCAGCCCCCCGTCAGACTCTCCCCGCCCAGCCACCCCCGGCGCGCCCCCTTCTGCCTGCCCCAACCCACGCGCAGATGCCGCGAGCTGGCGGCCGGCGGACCTGGTAAAGAAGCCACTCACCCGCACGGGCTTGCCACCCCGCAGGCGCAGTACCAGGTGGAGGGTGGACTCCTTTTGGATGTTGTAGTCCGCCAGCGTGCGGCCGTCCTCCAGCTGCTTGCCGGCGAAGATCAGGCGCTGCTGGTCCGGCGGGATGCCCTCCTTGTCCTGCGCAGCGGCATTTTTGCGATCAAATGGGAGCGGATGGCGCAGAGCGCCTGCCCAGGCCCCGGTAAGATGCCGTTGGCTGACACATCGGACAAAGGTCTCGGCATTGGCGGGCAGTTCTGCCAACTCTAACGTTTTGCTCGAGGTCGATCCCCCACAACCGAAATCCTCAACATCCAACCGGTGAAGGCTCTCGAAACGGATGCAAGACGGCCGGGGGCCACAGGGCCGCTTGGAAAGGAAAATGCCTCGCAGTGCACCGCGGCACGCGCCGTCCGCATCCATCGGCGCGTCCGAGCACAGCACGATGATCTTCCGTGGAGAATTGTCCAATCTCGCGCGATTGCAGGATGGACACTGTGCCGTCCTGAGAAGCCGCATTGGCCGCGAGGGCCCTCGCGCCCCGGCAGTGACCGGCGATCCGCCACGACTCCCGGCCCAACCCCGGCCGCGTGTACCCCGGGGTGCAACAGCTGACACGTTACGATGACTCCACACTCAACCACACCCACACCCAACCACATCCACCCCTCTCGCTCCCCAAAAGGCGCACCCATCCCGGAGACTGCCCCCCGCCGAAACACGAAAAACGAATTTCCCCAGGGAGGAATCGAGGTCGACCAGCGAGAACGGCGCCAAGGCGCGACGGCCCCCCTTTTTGATCCCGGCCGGAACGCAGTCGTCAGGCGCCACCGCACCTGAAGCTTGGCCTTCACGTTCTCGATGGTGTCGGAGGGCTCCACCTCCAGCGTGATGGTCTTACCCGTGAGCGTCTTCACGAAGATCTGCATCCCGCCGCCCCGGCAGCGCCGCTATGACCCGTTGACTGCGAAGGCAGCGCCCGAAAAGAAAAGGACTCTTCCCGGCGGCAGCAAGGAGTGTGTGCTTCCGCTGTGCTTCCGCGTGCTGACGGTGCCGGTGGTTGGAGGCGGGGTGGGGGGGGTGGGGGGGGGTGCTTCGGCTATGGGAGGGAATTGGAGGGGTGGAGTGGGAGAGGCGGGCACTTTTGACTAAGGGACTGCCCTAGGCGCTGCGCGCTGGATGTGCCTGTCGGTGGTGTTCTGCATGTCAGCGTCGACCGTACATGGGGCGCTTCGATGTTGGGGCGGCTGAATTGGTCCGGGGGTGTCCTGTGTCTTGGAGTGCGTGCAACAGGCAGCCTCCCACTGGCTGTGCATCGGGCAATGATGCACTCAGGGGTGTATCTTGTCAGGGGTGATCGCGCATCCTCGGTCTAAGATTTATGCACCCTCACTAGCAAAAGACATGCCAGATGACACGGTCCTGACACGGTATGCTTGAAATCCGACTATGTGCTTATGACAAATGTGGTCCCAAAACTACACAATTAGCACACATATTGACACAATTTCAACCATGTATCCTGGTAAACCATATAGTCTACACAATTGTTTGAGGGTACACGGTCGAAATTGTGTGAATGTGTGTACTAATTGTGTAGTTTTGGGACCACATTTGCCAAAAGCACACATTTGGATTTTGAGGAGACCGTGTCACTTGACAAATTTTTTCTTAATGCCTGATATACCAAATTTGGGATTCATGCATATTTGTATCTAACAAAGTGCAATATGGATATATTTAGAGGATCTTATTCAGTATGGGTTTGTGCAATTACTTACACAACCAAATAATCTGCTACCAAATGAATCAAACAATGACAAATCTTGCAGCTAATCTTACATACCCTCGGCGGCATCTCAATGCCCATTTTAAGTATCTATCCCATCCAGTTGGGACACATCACTGTGTGATCTCCATGGTGATCACGATATGATGTATTGCCTGAGATAGCACCATCAGCGAAAGTCTGTGCCAGCCACACATATTGTGCCCCGGGCAGAGCGCAGTGCAACACATTGGCGACACGAAACTGGTGGCAAACAAGGAATCCATTTGGAACGTGCTTGTGCAACTATCGTGGCATGCTTGCCCCTCGCACGAGCCACCACGCCACTGCAAGAACAAAACGGAACCTAAATTGCACAGGTGCAGACCTGGCAGGTCTGTCCCCCTCGTTCTCTTTTCATTTTGAGCTCACTGTCCGTGGATGAACCAGGGAAATAGTAGGGGCATCTTGTAAAAGGCCGAGTGTCATTCAAAGATTTGATTGTTGAGATTGATGATTCGCAAAGCTACCATGTGCCAAGCTCACGTTCAAATTCCTTCCCATTGGGGGCGAACCCAAATACAAGCCAACAGACATTCGCCCCTCATCGTGGCCCCCCAAAGGCCAATTTTCGGCCCATCACACGTACTATACCAGTGAATTTGGGTTTGCGTGTGATTTTACATTAACCACCACATGAAAATATTATGGCTGTGACACGTACCATGAAAAAGGGGTGAATTGGCGGAGGGGACACTCACCTCCCAGAAAACATGAGGGCAATGACATCCACAGTGGCTTTGGAGCACCAGTGGATTTAGACTCACACCATGATTGAAGTCCAGCGCCTCCCATGGAATGCCACCTTGTGGTTTCAGTTGATGGTCCTCTAGAAGGCTTTTGTTCGAGGGTCTGCCGGTGGACAGCGACACATTGAGAAAGCAGAATCGCAGGTTGCACCATGGGCTTCTCCCACATCTGGTGCAACGCACATGCACCGGGACTGCAGTCATAACGTGCTGGACGGGTACACGCCGCAGGGCATGAAGGTCACGGTGAATGGTTGCAACCTGCCAGATGATGCAGGCATGATGGAAGCCACCATCGGAGTAGACTTGGGCAATCTGTGTTTCAAACGATGAAAGGGACTGATTCAAAGCATTATCAAATGGTAGTACTCCACGCGCTCCGACTCAGAAAGCCCATCGGCATCTTTTGATGATACTCGATGTAAATCAACCTGGCTGCGATTGGACTCTGGATTTGGCGAACACCTCACAGTACTCACAGTAATACCAGTAAGTTTTCACGCCTTCCTCCGGACATAGTGCCTCTCACATGACTCCACCTGACAACAAGAGCAACGATCCACCCACTTCCATCTTCGGGTAGTACACCCATGACCCGCCGGGCTTGATCAGGTCCCCGGATCATCGTGACACCCTCCCGGAAGCACCCACGGCAGATCGCCGCCTTGCGCAGTACCAGCGCCCATGAACCGACACCATGCCATGCTCGGTCATACACATCAGAGCATATTCCTGCTCTTGACACGAGCGGCCTCTCACGACGAATTCAGCGCTTAGTAATTCCAACCACGCCGTCACCGACACCTCCCGCGCTCGTCGTCGACACACGCACGGCTCTGACAGGGTGGACCATCAGGCCTGCATGCGTACTCCAGCTGCCCGCGACTACGAAATCAGGAATCGGAATCCCTCCCACGCAGAATCGACGATACCCCATCATGATAGGCGCGCATCACCGTCTTCCATGCAACCCCCATGTCCACAACCGGTCTGACACGGGTAAGGCGAGGACCCGCGCAAGACCGATCGAGAGATTCCGCATCCCGACATCGCAACCCGAGAATCGACCCATGTCCGCGCGACATGGAGCCAATGATCCCCCCCTCTCAGTCAGCCGCTGCCCGACAAACAACGCCACGCAGTCGCACACCTCCTCAGAGTCGCGACAGGTGAAAAGCGTGCTCCAGGTTCAGGCAGAGACGGGAGATACACCAGCAGCCAAACGAATCCGGGTCTTACAACCCCCAGGACTTGTCCAACTTCGATTCTGCCCCCTGGGGTGGACAGACCGGATTTATAGGATCCCAGGTCGCGACATGCCGCGGACCTGTATTGTAACATCGTCCTAGTCCGTCCCTTTGTCTGTGCTGTCATGCAGGCAGAACATGTTGAAGACAATTACTAAGTCACTTCAGTCCCAAATCAGTCACAATCAGTTACCAAAATCATCCTTGTGGCATGCCCAGGCCATACTTGTGCCATGCCGGCGGCATGCCACAAGTCCTGCGTTCCAGCCCTCAAAGTGGGATGTCGTGCCATCATGCCGTCAGTTCATCCTCGTTGTCACATCCCAAGATCCCAGCCGCACCTGTCCCTCCCTGTCCATCTTGATTGGCTCCCCTCGTTGGACACGAAGATTCCTCTCAGCCTTGGAACGATATACAGCCAGGTTCCCGTCGATCACCTTGTCAGCCTCGGGATCCCTGGTATTGCTTCCAGTGCCATGTCCCCCTCGCAGCAAGGCGCTGCCAGCCTCCGGCCATGCAGCGATCGCAGTTCGCCAGAACGCCAATGGATAGACCTTCGCGATCGTCATGGCCTCCTAGTACTTTCCCGGCAAAACCCAAACTGTCGTAGTGACAAGGCAGGCCTCAGTGAGAGCGATCGTTCCCACAACGTGCCCAAAATACAAGGCCCAATGATGCTCAAAACTGGACGGCAGCCTTGTCTGAGCTTGATGACAGACCCTGGAGTATCTGATGTATTACTGATCGAAAATGACATGACAATGCCGGTCTGCATGACTGGAATCCTCAAGAATATCCGTCGGATGAATGTCCTAGGCGATGTCCCCTTTCTGACGTTGTTTACTCATAACATGAGCGTGGCGCCGGCACACCCAAACCATGGCCTCGGCATACCCAAAACATGGCGCTGGCACACCCAAACCATGGCTTTTCAATGACATAGAGCTCCCACAGAAACTCACTTCTTTATCTATCACTGGTGGCATACTCGGGCCATCCCAGCAGTGGATCATCGCCTTGATTATGCATAATCAGCCACCTTGAAAGCAAAAGTGGCCAGTAAATGCTGGTCATTTTGTGGTGGACTGAACATGGGCACAACCACGCCTCTCCACTGCGTGAGACTCCGAATATACATAGCGCTACCCCCGAGAACACCTGCCACTATAGTACACAACACCACACTTCACCAAAAGTCCTCGTCTTCCGCCTTTTCTGCCTTTTTCTCAGCGGTGTGGTTGGTCTTCTGACAGTAGTCATAGAGGAGTCCCTGACGGGAACGTTGGTGTTCAGATCTTGTTGCAACAAAACTCTCCTAAGTACGAGACATTCCCACAGGCTCCGGGTTAGCCACAGCAGCGCCAGAGGATGCTGTCAACTTTGGCAGCCTCACGCATCATGTGTGACATCACCCCCACCATGAAGCGCTGCAAGAACGCCTCACGACAACTGTATTCTGGCGTTATTTTCGGCCGAGTGTTGGTCGGCGGTTTTGTCGTCTTGGCGTTCTTTTGCCCGCCGCCAATAAGCCCGAATGGCGAAATGGCCCAGCAGCGCGACATGGCAGCGGCGGCCGGAAGCCTTCGTTACTCAGGTGGTGGGCGGATCCTGGAAGGTCGCTGAAGTCTTGGCGTTGGAGCTGGAGATCGCTGCCCGACTTCGGTGCGCCGCAGTTAGCCGGTCCGATCCGCGCGATCCGGGAGGCGAGTTGCCAGAATCGCAAGCAACAATGATTACTGATGACTCAAACCACATCCATTTTGTGCGGCAGGGCGTACCGCGTCCCGGGTCGCCCGCCGTGGGCCCAAAAACAACCAAAGTCACCCGTGCAAAGTACAGGCGTCCGCCAAGCTGCCATAAAGTACCGCAGTCGGCCAGAAATCACCCAAATAAGAGAATGCCTCCTCAAGGCCCTAATCCCATCTACTAGGGCCTTTAATTGGGTCGCCAATTAACATAATTTAAGACTATAATGTTCCCCACAAGAGGCCTCAGGGAACAGGGGGAAAAGTCAAGGGAGTAAATGGTCTCCCCAAGTAATTCCGTCACACTACTCCCCCCTTGGGAAAGTTTTCGCCCCCGAAAACACTGACTCCCATAAATCA